TTCTGAAAATAGATCAAATTTTATTACTAAAATATTATAAAATAAAATAATTAATTAATTTTTTAATAGTGTAATTAGAGATATCTTTTATTTAAAATTAATTCTCTCTCTAACAATTTAAAAAGTTTATTATCATATTTTGATTTAATGCATTTATGATTTTAATTTCAAAATGCTTGTTATGAGAATAACTAGAAATAGCCACCTGTAACGCTGGTGTGAACTATTTTTTTGTCAAAAATTCTTATTATTATTATTATTATTAGTATTTATCAATTTTTATTATTTTAAATATATATAATTAATATTATAAAAGTGTTAAAATTACTATATATTATTTCATATATTGATATTATAGTTTTTTGTTAATTTTTTATACTATATTTTGATCATTGTATTTTTATTAATCGTTTGATCAAATGTATAATATTCAATTTATTGTAATTTATAAATTTTTTGTAAAATTACTTAAAACAAAATAAAAATAATTTAATTTTTTTGTTATTTCATTTTACATTTATATTTATCATATTATTTTTTATTTTTATTTTATTATAATAATTTAATATGTAGTTAAGTTTTATGTAATTAATTTAATATGTAACTTAATATAGGTATTATAATAATTTTCATAAAATGTCATATGTCAAATTTTCATAAAGTAACAGCAGTTATTTTTGTAGTTTAATATGTAGTTAATTTTATATTATGCTAAAATTTAATATGTAATTACAAAGTAATTATAAAGGTATTGTTATAATCATGGTAGAAAATGTTTTATAATAATTTTAGCCAACTATGGTATGTGGGATATTTTCATAATTATGATAAAAATAGTATTATAGTAATTTTGATCAATTGTAATAAAAAACATTTCCACTATTATAATAAAAAATATTTAAATAATTTTGACAATTATGATAGAGAAATATTTTCGTAATTATAATAAAAAAATGTTATAATAATTTTAATCAATTATGATAAAATATGCATTTTTATAATTATGAAAAAAAAGATATTATAATAATTTGGCCGTTTATGAGAAATGTATTTTCATCTTTTATGAAAATGAGATATTTTCATTATTTTGGTTCAATATTCTAATTTCCACCAAAAAGAAAAACCAAAAAAATAATAATAATTAAACTTTTGTCCTCAAGCAGCCTGTTAAAAATCCAAGTGTTGGCCTTTGGATTTTGCGAACACCACAAATCTAACTCATCTTTTCCATTGTTGATTTTGATGATAGCTTTGTTACATTTATTCATAAATAATTCACTCCTCGCCACGTTTTCACAAAAAAAATTGTATTTTAAAATGGGTGAATGGTAAAACAGTACTTCAATTATAATTAAAAATTTATTCAAACTTTTATTTGTTTATTATAATAAATTAATTTCTATAACATTTATTTTTATTTAATTAAATTTTTATTTAAATAAAAAAAGTAACAATATTAATTTCATGTGATATCGATAAAATTTATGATAAATATTAATTTTTTTCAATTAAGATAATTTTTTTAGCTAAAATAAATTTTTTTATAATAGTTCTTCAATAAATGTTCTTTAATTATAACAAATTTTAATTTTTTTCGAGTAAGATAAAATTTCATATGACATTGATAAAATTAATAAGAATTTATCTTGTAATGTAATTAATATATGTGAAAATTGAATAAAATAAACTTTTTTTCTCTATTTTTTTCTATCTCTCTCTCTCTAATTCCTCTAAAAATTTAATTAACTATAATTTTAGAAATTGATTGATTAATTCAATTTTATCATGTGACTAAATTTTGTCCATTAAAAATTTAATTGAGTCCAAATAAAAGATTAAGGATTTGATTGATTTCAATAAAATGTTAAAAGTTTAAATGATTATTAAATTATAATTTAAGGGTATTTTGACCCTTTAGCCTTTTAAAATTTATTTGGATAGGTGGTTAAATTAATTTTGGTAAGAATAAAATATTAGTGAAATTGAAATTATAATGATAAAATTAAAATTAGTTGTGAGATATATATTTAGATAATAAAATAGTTATGACAGTAAGGTGAAAATAAAAAATAATCATTGAGAATATCAATATTATTTAACATTTTTAAAATTTATTCAATTAAAATATAGGTTTATATTTAACTTATGTTAGTGTATAAATTCTAAACACTATGATATTACCTCATTAATGAGATAAATTAGATGATATCATAAATTAGATGATATTTCTTCATTAATTGATAAATTTTTTTAAATTTTATATTAATTTTTGTATATTTATTTTAAATATTGATATTTATTTATTAATAAAATGACATCATTTAATTCACTAATAACGTATAAAATTTATATATTGATAATTTATTAAATATAAACTCTTAAAATGTTAGTATATATTATTTAATATTAAAATAATATTAAATTGCCCTATGCTTGAATCGATTGACATGTTGTTGTTATTGATATTTGGAGATTGCAAATTTAAAAGTGCTCATATGTGTAATATCCTTTTCAACTAAGTATAAAAAGTAGAAATATCAAAGGTAAATTAAGAAATTCAAAAAAATAATAATTAAGATTTTAATTATCAAAATTTATTAAAATACCTTGAAATATTTAATATATATTTAGAAGAAAAATTATATAATAATTATAAATATTATTTAATAAAATATTATAAACATATCAATATAAAATATATAACAAAATAATCATCTAAATTCACAATAAAAAAACAAAACTTTATGTTAAGGGTATTTTAAGGAAAAAAATGAATAATTAAAGTAGTATGATCAAGGATTCAGTCCAATAATTCATCGGACCAATCTCAACCGATCTTTCAATTAGTAATAGCACCATAAAATGTCATTCAAACAGTACACAGCACCAATTACACCGCCACCAGTGACAACTAGCGTTCCAAATGGCCAAACCTGTCAACGGACGCTTTTGCGTTTGCCCCGAATGATTTGAGAATGGCAACTATAAGAACTGAAAATAACGAGACGTCGCTTTTTTAACGCGTCCTTCTTGGGGAATTTCGTTTTCTTGGTATTTTCATAAATATGTGTCAGAACTTTTATTAATTAATGCTTAATCTCATGTAATTAATTAAGAAAGGATGCTTGAAAAAAAGATTGATATACGGTTAATTAGACATTTTAACTTTTTGATAATCTGTCTCCCAAATTTTTTTGAGGTTTGTGGAAGTACAATATTTTCCTTTCTTTTGAAATCGTCCCTTAGCTGGTTTGCTACGTTCCAAAAAATGCTGAAAACATTTCCAATCAAGTAGGAATTTTTCTTAACAAATAAAAAGTTTCATTTCATTCCAAAATAAAATATAGAAATTTACCAACAAACCCCACTTCAAGAATAAAATAAAATTCATTTCAAATAATTTAGACTTATTAATTAGTAGTGCGGAAAAATTTGAAAAAAATTAAAAAATTGATTCAAAATTGTCAATTCGGTTTGAAAAAAAAAAATTATTTGATTCAGATTAAATTTGAATATTAAATTATATATCAGATTTATATCAAATTTCGAATCGAAAAATAAAAAATAGAAAAAAAAACCTAAATCAAATTACATATTTTTATTAACTTTATATATATATTTTAAATTTTATAAAATAAAACAATTATTTTATATCTAAAACTATTTAATTATATTAAAATGTATATTAAATTAATATATAAAAATAAAATTTAAAATTTAAAAATCAATAAATCGAATCAAACTAATAAAATTTGGATCGAATTTTAAAAATTTATAATATTATATATTATTTAAAAAAATCGAATTAAATTCGATTCGATCTGAATTATTTTCATCTATATTATTAACTCTTTTAAGAAAACTGAGGATTAAGATTTGATTTGTAAAAAATCTTAATGCATAAAAAAGAACAAAATATTATAAAAGTATGAATTAATTATTAAATATATGATATTTTAGTTATGTACTATACATTAATTTGCTTAATTTTAAATCTTAAATTGCTTAGCATACACACACATGACTCGACTGATATTTTATAATTCATGTGAGCATCATAACATGGATATGATTGAGATGTGCACATCCTCGGCTCATTAACTATTTTAAATTTGTTTAAATGCTTAAAGTTAATCTCCTACTTTTTACAAACAAATTAGAAGCAAAGAGGTGACATTATTAAGAAGAAAAAAAATGCTGTGGAAAAAAGTATAAGTTTAATAATAGAATTTTTTTACTTAATAATAGAATATTTAATTGTTAAATTTATTCTTTAATATTATTATTTATTAAATAAAAACTTTGTTACCAATAAGGTAAGTCACTAATAAATAATCAATAAATGATATATAATTTTTTAAATTTAAAGTTTATCTAAATGATTAATCTATCTCCTTATGAATTGAATTCTCACAAAATTACAATTCGATTTTAGAACTTGTACATTTTTTTCCTCTATTAATTTCTCTTGAGCTTTGTTTTTTGAAAAAAAGACATTTTTTTTTGTCACAAGGATTCATGTATGATAACAAGCTTTATAATATTTTATTTATTGATAAAAGAATTTTATATTAATGTTTAAGTTTAAATCTTTATGATCAAGCAAAAGGAGATTGTCCATATTATTCTTGTTCTTGTTAATAAGGTTTGTTGCAACTAATATATAATTTTTTTTTGGGGTGCAAGCTAAAACTAATTTCTTTGCAAGTTACTAACAAATTAATTAATTTCTTGTAAAATTGTTAATAAATAATATTGCATTGATAGGGGCAAAATGGTAATATACTGAAAGCAGGAGAAAAAATCTTCTAAATACTGGTGGTTATAAATATTAATTAAAAATTTAAAATTTAAAATTGAAATGAAACAAAGTCCAGCTGGAAAGCTGGAGAAGTAGTCAAATATTAAAAAAATAGAAAATAAAAAAGCAAGGCATTGGCACGTTGCGTTGGCGTGCAAGCCAAGCTAAAAAAAAAAAAAAACCCGAGGAAAGAACGATAAATTTTAGTGAGTAAATGCGTTTTGTTTTTTACTCATTAATCGGAAGAAGAAAAATGAAAAAAAGAAAATAAATGTAGAATGGGTTATTGGCGCCCACTGAAATCTCCAAAGAAAACTCTTTCCCTTTTCCCTTTCAACAGAAGATTCTGATAATTGCTTAAAAATCGGAACAGAATCTACAGAAACCAAATAATAATAATAATAAGGCTCTCTCTCTTTTTCTGTTTCTGAGTATGAGTTAAAGTTATTGCTTTGGAAGAAGAAGATGACTTGGAGAAGAGTGTTGAAGTCGGCGCAGTCTTTGGCAGCGCATAGCCTGCTTTTCTGTTTCACGCTTTTGCTCCTTCTTAAGCTGGATCATGTCGTTTCTTACTCTTGGTGGTCAGTTCTTTTATAACTCTTTTTTCTTATATAAATTTGTTTCTTCTTACATGTTTTCGTTTCAATTTGATTTTGGTTAATTCGCTTCTCCAATTCATCGTTTTTTCTTCTTTTTTTTTTAAAAAAAACAACTTAAGGTCCTTCTCACAAACAAGGTATTATTATTATTTTTTTTTAAATTTTTGGTTCTGTGTGGATTAATAGAAGTTTTAATGATTATTTAGAAACAATCTCTGTTGCTGAAAAAAAAGCTTTATCTTTTTCCGTTTTAATTTAATGTTTTTGGGAGAGAATAAAGTTTTGCTTGCAAAGTTTGTTCCTTGTAGAAGTTGAGTAGAAAAAGGAAAGAATTATGGACGAAGATGTTTCTTTTTGGCGACTTAAAATCGATGGATTGTGCTATAGTTTTTGATAAATGAATGATTTTGTAATCAATATAAAACGAGAAGAATATAAAGTTTGCTTTTTCAATCTGTAATTGGGTGCGTTTGGATGGATATTGTTATGTTATTAGAGATGAAATTAATACCAAACCTTTAACATAAATCAAAGGTGCAAAAGGGTTCATGTTGAAAAACAAAGCTATAAAACTTGGAAACCAATGCCGGAAAAGTCACTTGAAACTGTTCCAGGGTAGTTTGTCATTGGAGTTGCTAGGCACAGTTACAGTGCATTTGCCAAAGGAAACTTGCGGTTTTTTCTCTAATTCTTTTTATCTTTCATTTCTTTCCTCTTTTTAATGTTTTGGATCTATTCTGCATTACCAATGCTCTTAAAGAGCAAAGAGCTAAAATTTTTATGAGTGAAGTAGATTTATTTTCTTCAAGTTGTGGTTGTTTCGAAGGAAGGGTAACATAAATTGCTTGAATATGCAGATTTATGTGCTGTAGTTTTTGATTTAAACGCCAATAAATGTGACATCCCTGTAACCCTGGGCATATGGATTTTTGTCTTTTAGTATTGAATCCATTCATTGATTTTAGGTTTTAATTGCTTTATTTAATGGCTTTGATTGCAGGACAATATTTTTCCCACTTTGGATGTTTCATGGAGTTGTTGCGCGTGGAAGATTTTCCTTACCTGCTCCATCTGTCCCTCATAATCGTCAAGTATGTCTGATTGTCTGTCTGTTAGCATGACCCTCATTTTACTTGAATTATGCTTTGACTAACTAAAACATAAATTCTCTATTTGGAGTTTTCTGGTTGTGAATGTTTCAAATTCGTAATCAAGTTTTATGACCATAATTATTGAGGCTTTTATTGCTTGGACAGTGGGCACCATGTCATGCCATTGTTGCGACACCACTATTAATTGCATTTGAGCTGCTTCTTTGTATATATCTTGAGAGTGTAAATGGTATAGAGCCAGCACTTTATTTTCCTTTTTTTCATGTTCGTTCTTTCATCTCTTCATTAGTTACTTCAATGATCAACATTTCAAATTTAAAATTTTTAGTCATAGGTGAAGTAAAACAGTAAACTGTTACAGTGTTTACATTGTTCTTTGATGGGGCATGTTCATGAACTATATTAATTCTTTTGTTACAGTTCATGGTTTTGCTGCTGTAAACTTGAAGATTGTGTTTCTTCCACTGTTGGCGTTTGAAATAATTGTTCTAATTGACAATTTCAGGTACTTTAATGTAGATGGCTTATATTAAACTTTTCATTTATAGTGTGTTAAAATCATGTCCTTTGCTTACTTAACTGAACATTATTGCTTGTTAACTCTTTCTTATGCATTTTCTTATTGTTATTGTGGAACTATATAAGGCTTTCCAAGGTACCAATCTGTAACTTTGGAATGTGTCTGTCCTCATCAAGGGTTGATTTGGGCATAATTTAGGATTCAGCCAATATGTGGTTTCATTCATCGAGAAACAATGTTAATGCATTCTCCATGTTATTTGACTTGTTTATTTTAAAACTTGATTGCATGTTAGGAAAGGAAGACGTCCACGTTTTTGTTGTATTATTATACTATTTGGTTTTATTCAGGGATCAATAACAAATATAGAAGGCTGAGAAGGCTAGCATTATAGGCAAATATCAACATTCGCCTTTATGTGATTGTGTATTATAATCATGGGAATACGCTTTTAGAATGCTGTGTCATGCCCCTCCTCTTAATTGCATTAGCTCAATTTGTCAGTAACATTGGCAAAAAGCCTTAGGCAGGATGGTAACTTCTAATGCAAACTTTTCAAAGTAAAGAAAAGAAACTTTTGCATTAGCTAAATAGTCAGTAGCTTCCAAAAGTAAAATGCCTTAGGCAAGATGGCGACTTTTAATGTAAACTTTTCAAAGTAAAGAAAACAAACTATAGCTTTAAGTATGTAAACTTGTCTTAGACAAAAAAAATATTTTCTTCATTTATAAGTAACATCTGATGAACTTTATGTTGTTAGTCAGCTAGAGATTATGATAGCCAAGCCAGAAATTAGCTAGTAATAGTGATGAATGGTTGATAATTTCCTGAAAGAAATATAAGGAAGAAGATTAACCATCGACTGTTTATATTAGGCATCTCAGCTTTGATCATTCTTTGTCATTACCTGGTTTTACCTGTAAGGACCAAAAATTTTAACATGATATGATCATCAGGGGATGAAGCCTGCTAAACTGAATTGTTTGTGCAGTCCCTGCTAGACTGCGAGCATATTTCAGAGAAAATGCAAAAGCAAGACAACTATAAGTTTCTGGTGGCTTTGTCACTTCTGAATGAATGGATATAGCTAGTTACTTCATATTTTATGGAAATTATTTTGTCTTTTTGGTAGCAAGTGCAAATGGAGTATGTGATGTCTTAGGTATGTGCCTTAGAAGTATATCAGATTTACTTTTCTCCTTCTCTTTGTTATGCTTCTTACTTCAGTGCTTTAGACTAGAAATTTGGATTAGGATAAATTATCTTCAGCATTAAATGATTGAAATTAAAAAAAATTTTTTCCTGTCCTTCCCTATTTTCCTAGTAATTTAATTTTCTCTGCATGTTCTAAGCAATTATCGCAGTTATTGATGTCATTTTCTTCTTCAGGATGTGCAGGGCTCTGATGCCAGGAGATGATGAAAGCATTAGTGATGAAGCAATATGGGAGACACTACCTGTAAGTTCTACTGAACTTGGCAATTTGATGGTCCAGTTTTTTTGGTGTTCTTTTACTGAATTACATATTAACTATTCTAAGAGAATTCAGATTCAAAAAATGAAGATTATCTTCAAGTATTTGACTTTTTTGGGTTTTATTTGAACCTTAAGCACTTTCAACCTATCCATAACATTTGGATTTAAGCTTTTTCATGGAAGAAAATAGATTGCACTGTTATTCTTTTTTTTTCCTTGTTTTTATTAATATATATCAAGCAAGCAATCAAGAAAAACTGTAAAGGCTCTTCACGAGTATGTGAATTAGTGTAAGATTGGAACTTGTAACACTTTAGTGCCTTTACTGTTTTTTGTTCTTCACTTATTGAAAAAAGAAAGAACTAAGACATGAGTTTTTTAATGTGTGGATGCTATGTTATGTTTATGTTTATGTATCACTGCAAACATCTTGAACATTTTTGAGAAAGGCTAAAATACTAAAATGGCCATTGTACTTTTTCAAATTTCCTAGATAAGCCCTTATCCTTTTATTGTACCCAATTAAGCCCTCAAAGTACTATTTCTTTTTAACGAAACCCCTATTTTCTAACACATTTTACTGCTTTTCATGCAAAAAATGGCTTAATTAAACAAAAACAATACTTTAAGGTCTCAATTAGGTACAATAGAAGGATAAGGGTTTATTTGAGAAATTTGAGAAAGTATAGGAGCTTTTTTAGTATTATAGCCTTTGAGAAGCTTGATTCTTGTAATAAAATATTTTCTGTTATTGGGATGTAAACCTGGCAAGTAATATAAAATTGACTGTTAATGAGCTGCTATTTATGATTTGTAGCACTTCTGGGTTGCAATTTCTATGGTCTTCTTTGTTGCTGCTACAGTCTTCACCCTTCTGAAGTTATGTGGTAATTTCTTTACTCAACTAACTTTAATACAATTATGAGGAGTTGCACACAGGGCTTATTATTCTTGTCTACATAAGTTTTATATTCTAGTTCTTGATCCAGTTATCTATATCATTCTAGAAAAAAAAAAAAAAAAAACATATCACTTTTGTATAGGTAAAGTGACAAATTACTTGGTACCATTTTCTGATACTTTGAAGGTATAAGGATTGCTGAAGTTTATGTGGCTCATGACTGCTACCGGATAAACTGGAGTGAACTGTGTTTGTAACTTTCTATAAAAGAGAAAAAAAAAAAAAAAGAACAGTTTACTCCTGTTGTTTTCAGAAGCTTGAATGTTTGTACTCTTCTTAGATTGGATAAATTATTCTTGCTTGAGACCAAATTAAATTCTCAATCGTGCAAGGCATTTTGATATAGGAGATCATTAGTGTGTTTTGCGGTTCCGGAAGTGGTTAATTTGATACCTTCTTGAAGAGCTGGTTTGCTTTGTTGTCACCTTAGGAGTCATTTAGTTTTTGAAGTCTCTTTCTCTGCGTTAGTGTCACTGGCTATTCCTTAGCACTTTATTTGATTATCTGTCTATTTGTGCATAAGCAGATTAAGGAATAATGATTTTGTATTATAAATGTCTTAATTGGCAGTACTTACTATAATAGTTTAACCATTTAGAGGGACCTCTTAAGCACATCACAATCCCTAGATATCCTATTAATGTAGAGTTGCCATGGGTTGTTGGCTTCGTATTCTATCAATAAAATGATAAAGCCCACCTCCTTTATAGAATGGTGTTCTTCCTTGCATACCAATCCTTGATTTGCAATTGTTTTCTTATTGAAACATTTCTCTAGCCACAACTGCTGTCTCTTTAATCTTCAAAAATTTTGTGAAGTCTTGGTTTTTATGAGAGAGAAGGGAGGGGGGGGGGGGGGAAGATGGTCCTAAAGGAAAATAGAAATAGAATGTATTGCTTTAAATAAAGTGGTGCAAACAAAGGGATTCATGTAGTGCATCCTGTTTTCTTGGGGCAAAGGCATATTTGAGCATGTTTGTGGTTGTATAATTCAGAGTCATGTTGTAATATCTCAACGTTTACATATTATCCTTCTCTTATCACTCACATGTATGTGTGCTCGTTCATGCATGCATTTGTGCTTCCATGTTTCCATGCTCACAGAATCTGGAAAGTTGGGTCCCAGAATTGTAGCTCAGAATGTGCATCGCTTCTTAAGCACCAAAATTAGATTAATCTAACTGCATAGGTGCTTTGGTTCTTTTTGTTTCTTTTATCAGATTTTTTTTGGTTAATGACCCTTGTATTTTGATTTTGCAGCACTTTTTGTGGCCATAAATTGATTGATCTAACTTTATTTTTTGGTTAAGATTTCATTGTTTGTGACCATTGTTTTCCTCTACAAATATTGCAGGTAATGTTGGTGCTCTTGGCTGGTGGGATTTATTCATAAATTTTGGGTAAAGCTTTGTTGCTTTTAATTTCATTGATGTGTTTTTTAGTATTATTTACCAGTGGTTCCTGGAAATAGCACCATGATAGCCTGCTTGAGTTGAGTGACTAGAAAAAGGTGATGAATGCTAACCTATTTTTTCATGCAGTATTGCTGAGAGCTTTGCTTTTCTTGTTTGTACAAAGTGGTCTAATCCCGTAATTCATAGAAATTCCCCTGCAATAGAAGCTGGTCCATCTACCACAGCTATCAGATATCTTGACTGGAACAGTGGCTTAGTAGTTACACCAGATGAAGACCAGCATCAGGATACAGTGTGTGGCCTGCAAGAAATTGGTGGTCACATCATGAAAATTCCTATAATCGGTTTCCAAGTCCTCCTCTGCATGCATTTAGAGGTTTGTGTATCATTGGTGGTCTTGTCTATGATTGGGGTATGTTGTCAACAAATCTATGATTGTTTCAAATTTCAGGGAACACCTCCTGATGCTAGATATATACCGCTTCCAATTTTGTTCTGTCCTCTTTTCCTACTGCAAGGTGCTGGTGTGCTGTTTGCTGCATCAAGGTTACTAGAGAAAATTGTACTTTTACTACGGAGTGGGGCTGGCACAGGGTTATACTTCAGATTTTCGTCTAGAGCCCATGATTGCATGGGATTCTTGCACCATGGTTCTAGGTACTGACTATTTAGTTTCTAAATAGGCTGAAAATTTTATTAGGCTAGATTGTGCAGTTCATGAATTGACACAACTGATTCTGTGTCTGTCTGTAAAATCAGGTTATTGGGTTGGTGGTCAATTGATGAAGGAAGCAGAGAGGAACAGGCACGACTTTACTATGATGGGGCCTCTGGGTTAGTATAATTTTAGCTTCTTTCTCCCTTTTATAGATGCACAAATTGTATGTGGGTTTTCTTTTTGCTTGCTTTTTGTTCACCACAAATCTCTAATTGGCACGTGCCTGGCTATGTTTGAAAAAAAAAGTGAATTATGTTTCATAATATTGAAGGTGAAAATGACGAGACAATAGTAGTAATTAAGAAAATTAAGAAAAAACTACTTTAATTTATTACTACTATTTTAAGAGATTGTATTGATGTGAACTGTTTTTAATGCCAAAAGAAAATAAAAATATCACAAAAAATAAATATGGAGCACAGAAGATGTAAGATTTTAGGTGTTCAAAAAAGGAAAGAAGATAAAAGTTTTGAGACATCTCTTAAAGGAAAGATGGGTGGGCGAAATTGGATAGGAGTAATGGCTCAGTGAATAGTTGTCATATCACTTGTCAATATTTTATTTTACTACATGCAACTTAGAATGTTATTACCCAAATGATTTATGAAGCAGGCATTGTGGGGTAATACATGGCTGTTGGTAAATGTAGTTGGGTTAAAACTTTTATCAACTTATATCCAAACTATTTATGGCTACTTGAAGGGGTTATCCACTTATCAGCCCATTTTAACAGAGGTGAAACAGGTGGGTAGGACTTCAGAGTGTTTTTTGGTTTAGTTTGAGCTTTTGAACACATTGAATAAGATTGAACTGTTTAGTTCAAATTTAGAAATTGAACCATATAGAATATAATAACATTATAGATGAAATTGAATTTTCTCAGTTTGCTTATTCAGGTTTTGGGTTTTTGAAAGGCCTTTAAATTTGTGATGACTTTTTTTTCCCTGGGCCAAGTTTTAATAATAACATTTTAAAATCTTATTAAGGATAAAGAATGAATTCAAGTTAGTAATAACTTAAATTCTTTGATTTGGACTAATCTGGGATTTTCATAACAAAACTTGAAATCAAATAAAATTGATTATAACCAAATTGACTAGTTTTGGTTATTTGTGGCTTTTATAATATCTTTAAATTTGTGTTTGACATTTTTTTGGGTCATTATCTATTTGGACTTGGTAAATAATTTTAAATTTTATCAAAATAGAATAAGCATTTAAATTGGTGATCAATTCAGTTGAGTTTGAACTAATTTGGGTTTCAATATCGATTTGTGAAGTCGAATCAAAGCCTGCGGTCTTTATGACATTGTTGAACCCTATTGAATAACAACTGCACTGAAATCATGGTTTTTGGCCTTTTGTTTTTGTTTTGTTTTTTTCTTTAGGGGTGGGGGGGGACAGTTTTAGTTTGAGTGAGTTTTTCACCTTGATTGAGGACTCTTAATTAACGCAAAGCAAGAAACTGTTCATTTATTTTTACTTATTTTTATTTATTTTGGGGCTGTGGAGGTTTTATAACATGTTTATGGTTTAAAGAAACTAAAACTGAAGAAAAGACTGTTAGAGAATGATGTGGATGATGTAATTACATGATGTGGCAAAATTTCTATCACTGGTGTTCATTGATGTTATTTTTTTTTTTTCCATTTTTAACTGATAATAGATTCTGATTTCTTTTTTGAGTTTACTCTTAACAGTCAGGCTGTTGGATTATTCTTTACACTCTCTCACTACCGTTTTTCCTAACCTTTTTTATTTGAATGCTCCATGCAGGTATAACACCTTCTCTGGTTATCCACCTGAGATAGTTAAGAAAATGCCTAAAAAGGATCTAGCTGAGGAGGTGATTATAGTGCTCCTACCATTCCTTTCTGTTTTTGAGTTGGTTACTGCATCTTTTTTCTTGTACCTGGTAGTTTGTACCGCATTTTCTTACAAGTTTCTCTTCTCTTTCACGTGATATTATGGTTTGTTTTGCTTTTGACATTGTGTCTGTGTGATATACTCGCAATTCCAAGAATTCTAATGACCCTGGTCATGCATGTAAATATAATTTGTATAGTTTGTTTCATCTCAGGTTTGGAGGCTTCAGGCAGCTCTTGGTGAGCAAACAGAAATCACAAAATATAGCCAGCAGGAGTTTGAGAGACTTCAAAATGTAATTTTTCAACTTTATCAATGTGGCTATGTAGTGTGAAATAACTAATTGCCAAACTCTGCATTATGAGCCTAATGAAGCTGGATTGGGACATGTTCTTTTGTGCCTTGCTGACATGTGCGTGTTCTTGATGTAATGTACAGGAGAAAGTGTTATGTAGGGTTTGCTTTGAGAGAGAGATTAGTGTGGTTTTGCTCCCCTGTAGGCATCGTATTCTTTGCAGGTATAATATGGTCATTCTCTTGATGTGATTGCATTTTCAGACATGTCCAAATGACGTTCAATCTTTTTGCTCTTAATTTTCATATTTTCTTTTATTCTTTGGTGTTTTGCTAATCAGTTCCTTTGCTTTGCAGTACCTGCTGTGAGAAGTGTAGAAAATGCCCAATCTGTCGTGTCTCCATTCAGGAACGCTTACCTGTATATGATGTTTAATTTCTAACTTGGCAACTTTTCTGTAAAAGTGGGATTGCACGGTAAACATCAAATACCTGAACAGGTCAGATATTTTTATTAAGTTTTCACACTAGAGAGTGTTGCTTGTTTGAATTGACATGAGCTAGTATGGATATACAGAGAATGCACTTGCTATAATAACAAGAAGATTTTTCCCCCTTATTTTCTTTTTTAATCCTAGGAAATGTAAATATAGTTTCCTGATAGGAACAATATTCTGACATTGGATTGTAAGGTTTGCTAGCTTGTTGACTGGATTAACAGTGCAGAATGACGTGTTTTGATCCTTTTTTTTTTTGGTAAAACTGTAGAATTAATTCCATTCCCCAGTGTATTCATTTCATTCCTTTTGTTGGTTCTTGCACAAGTAACTTTTTGCTCATAGTTAATCAACAGGTTAGAAATTTTGTTTTAGTAGGCTTATGTATAATAAGCAAGCACCATATAAAAAATACAAATATTAAGAAAAAAGGTTTAACGTAAAATTTAAAATATAGATGTTAGAGAATAATAACCTAAGCATACTTTCTCATTACTATAACTAAATATTGTTATGATGACTGTGTGTTAGTGTTTCACAATCATCATTATTAAGTTACAATATGAATATATACTGAATGACCTCATTGCTGATTGATATAATCAAGCAAATATTTCTTTTCTCAACATATGTAACTAGACAACAATTTAGCCATTGATTAACCATTCAGTTATGCAATATGATATTAATAATTAGTTTGGTCGTAAGGAAGACCCTATCTACATTTGTAGTTTCATTTGGTAGAATCAATTTTAATATTAGAAGCAAATAACTCGATGGATAAACAATTGCAAACGTAGAAATTGATTCAGACATATCAAAAAGTAATTCAATCACAAAAATGTTATACTAGAAGTGACCTAACTAAAATTTATTTTGACTACTATCAAATTAACATTTTTATTACCTTAAATTGAATGCATTCGATATATAACCTTGTAAAAGGTATTTCAAAATATGGGAACTTCAAATTTGGCATGGTACTTCAACTGATAGAAAACTTTTAGCATTATTTAATTGGAGAACCAAGAGAGTTTGAGGGAGAGTTTGAGTAGCGGTAAGAAAGGCAAGGAACAGGCAAAATAGGTAAGCATGGTTGATAGTGCTGTCAATAGGGCAAATGAATGCTGATATTGAGCTAGTCATTTTTTCCCAGTGAAGACATTATTAATGTAAAGGTAGGTTCTAAATGGTTAGAATGTGAAGTGATAATGGATTTTACTTCATTCTTTTAATTATTTATTTAATCTTTGATGAAGTCAAAGTCAATCTATTCTTTTAAAACTTGATGCTGTTAATTGATTCCAGGTCAAGTGGCTTGGCCCTACATTTGATGACATTTGGCTTGCTTTAATTGGTTTGGCTCTATCCTACAATAATTTTCTGATGTTGTTGAATATTTAGCTCCAGTAGTATTTGACATTTTTAAGATTTATATTGTCAACACAAAATTCTTAAATGATCTACTTACATAACGCAACATCGACAACAATTCACTTGAAATTTTGCAATTTCTTTCCATCCAAATCCTTTTCATAGTCTTAATAAAAACAACTATGCTCAGAACCTCTCATAAGGATTCCTTGTCATGTATTTTGTCTTCAATAATTGGTTTGTCTAGGGCCACTCAACGTAAATCATTAAGGGGGCATTTGGATTGCCGTATCTTACATTGCCTTTGGGAATATGATTGCCCCTTACAAGATTACCAAAGTAGATTGTCAGTAATATGTCATTCATGTGTTTGGTTCACTTGGCTTGCATGCAAGATTGCCATATTTGGTTGGACAGGATTATAACTTTCCAAATGATCACTTGGCTTTCAGAAATGTTGAAAAACAAAAGAAAAAAAAAGAATATTGCGAAACAAACATGATAATCTCCGGAATAAAAGATAGATTCCGGGCAGTAATGTAAGACGGTTTGAATCACAACGGTCACCAGGTTATTAGGCTAAAGGATTCAAGAATAACTTTTAGTCAATGACGTGCTGCCGTCTTGCACTAGCCCATTGGGTTGAGAACTAACGTCTTGTTCGAAATTTTAATAGGTGAATGGGTAAAAAAATACTTTTGAATTATAATTCAATAATAATTTTAAATTATTATTCTTTTTGTCTCAAAATATTTGTTATATATTAACTTTTATGGAATTAAAAAAAAAAGATTTTGATTTTAATATATTTAATATTAAAATTTAAAACTTTTTTTATAAAATTAAAGTCCTATAATTTTTAATATCAAAAAGTAAAAAAAATATAAAAAATAATTTTAAAATATAAAACAAGAGAGTTTTAGATGTTAAAAAAAAAAGAAATAGGGCATAATTTTGGAATATCTCAAAAAGAAAAGATAGACTAAGAAAATGGGACAGAAGAAGTAACATTTTATTATAATTAATCAAACTTTTAATTTTCTATTTTGATTTAATTGAATTCTTAAATGGGCAAATTCTAGTTACATGATAAATTTTAATTAATCAATCCCTAATTACAGTCAATTGAATCCTTAAGTAGTATTTGATATTTTTTACAAGATCATCATGGTAATGTAATCATTGGATGATTTTATTATCAAAGTGATTTTAACACTCATAATTTGAAATTAATTTATTTAGTTAACAATCATTAATTCTTAAAAATTAAAGTTTACTGTATTTGATATTATTAAAAATCAAACATGATTTTATTTAAAAGTACAAAAAATAATTATGTATATTGTAATAGTTACACAAATTAATAATTTTAAAATTGTTTGAAGATAATAATTTATAAAATATTGTAATATTAATTTATTTTATAATAAAATATAATTAAATTATTGAATTAATAAATATATTTTTTTATAGGAAAATTTATTTTTATAACATAAATTATGTAAAAAAAAATGTTTGAATTAAAAATTAAAATCAATATATTAAATTCATAATAAAAGAAAAACAAAATTTATATTATATATAAATATAAAAAAATGCATAAATTATTTTTTAAATTGTTACAATGAATAATAGTTTGAAAATATAAAAAATTATAATATAAAACAATTATAATTTTAAGATACAATAATTTTTTAATTCATATATCAAATGAGTAAAATTAACTATTATTAATTTTATATATCACTTTACCTCATAGATAAAGTTTCTCATCTTTTTGTTTAGGAATTACATCATTTTTTAAGAGAATAATATGATCATTCTCAATGGTCCAAAATCATTGTCATGTAAGACCATTAAGTGCTTGCTTAATACAGAATCTAATCACCATGTGTAAATCACAATAATTTTTGGAGTGATATCTCATACAATATATTTAGATTTTAAAAAGAAACAATGAAAGAAAATAAAGACAAAAATTTTATTTATTTAATTTTTATATATATTAATTATGTCATATTGTAAATTTTAATCAATTTTATTGATATTATATAAAATTTTATCTTAATTGATAAAAAAAATAATGTTATTAATTTTGTTATTCAAATAAAAATTTAATTAAATGTAAATAAATGTTGAAGAGATAATTAATTGTAATAAAAAAGACAAATAATTCCTTTTTTTTGTGAGGTAAAAGACAAAAAATTCTTCAATTATAGTTTAAAAGTTGTATTATATCTCTAGCCAATTTAATATTTGAGATTCAACTTTTGATGGCTTGGTGAGAAAGATTGTAATAGCATGTGAAGAATCAAAGTGACTTAAAAGCTTGAGGCGGTGGGTAAGGTGAAAAAGCTTTTATTCGCCAAAAGCTTTGAATTGGCAAGATGTGTCACATCTAGACGTCAGTCTAGTCAGTCGGGCAGTGGTAATTGTGTTCTTTGCAATGCGGGGCGAGCCGCTTTAAAGTTTTAGATTGTGGATCTCTATCGTTATTTGATTTTGCCTACCGGACAACGTAGGTCAAATATCTTCGGAGAATTTCAATGTGCTGAGGATTTGACGGATTCGTTTCTGTCTTCAATACCATATATTACATTAGAGTGGGATTGGATGAAAATTTTCTTAAAAATTTTAAATGATAATATTTTAAAATTTATCATTTTAAAATGTTAATATTTGTAGATATTTTATTTTAATAAATATTTTTTTATAAAATATAATTTATTGAAATTTGATAAAATACAAAGTAATATAAAATAAAATATGTATAAAATAAATTATATAATATGAGTACCATTAGGCTTGCAAAAATGTATAATATTATTAATAATATAAAAAGATAAAAAATATTAAAATTAAATAAAATAATATATTTTTAATTTTTGTATTTTATGATATATTTCATGTGCGCTAAAGATAATAATAGATTTAAAGAAATATTAAAAATTACCAATTTAAATAAATTTTTTAAAAAAAAATCTTTGAAAATTTTTCTCAAATTTTGAAATTTCTTTCATTTTTACTTATACAAATAAATTCATTTTAAAAATTTGAAAATCCTTATTGAAATGAATTTTTTTTCAAATGTGCCGTCCAAAATCACTCTTAAAGAAAATTTTATTTTGGTTATTATACTATTAAGGCTGCTTTGCATAGCTTATCAAATATTTAAAAACAGTTCATTCACATGCTTAAGTGAGGCATAAGCATTTCAAAAAGTGGTGACCTGTTCCTTTTTGTAAGGCTAAAGAGTCTCAATTCAATTATAGTAGCAAAAACGAAATTAAATAATTGATCAATTACATAAAAGATAATAATTTAATATAATTTGACCTAATCGATTTATGTCAATGGATGAAAAATAAAATCCACTAATTATAAAAAATTAAAAATATATAATTAAATCATATCAATCATTCAACAATCAATACCGACAAACCCTCTTAATCTCCTCTAATCTTATAGAATATTCTCAACCCAAATAAATATATATCTATATGTATCATTTCAACACAAATAAACACATATTCATATACATTTATACACCTATATCTATGTGAACGTTCTTAGTCTCTTTTAGTCTACTTATAAACATTTACACCATCATACCTAATGTGGATCATTTCATTTTCTTCTAGTCCATTCAAATATACACACCCATAAGAAATTAATCTACTATAGTTCTATGGGGTATATATCCCATAAAATCTTATAACTTTTTTATATTTTTTTTTATACTTAACCCTATAGAGACTTTACATCTTTATAAGCATGCAAACTTGTATATTAAGAATCATTTTTCTCTTAGAATTTTTCTTATACAAGTCAAATTTATTTATTAAGAATCTATTTTCTCTTAGAATATTTTTCCTGCAAGTCAATTTGTCCATCAAACAATATCTAACCAATCCCAAATAAATCTTTTATAGGATTTGAGTCATTATTCTCAATAATCTCCATTTTGACTCAAATTCTATCAAATCATCTATATTCATATTAGACATGCTTAGCTCTACATGTAATGAAAGTCTCAAAATCATCTTCTCTTGTGTGTCTTCACACTTCATACAAATTGATCTTAATTCTCAAAATATGAACTATAACTCTTCTCTTGAATCAAGCTCTTCTGGACTTGCCTCTTCTCTTGGATCGAATCATGCTCTGATATCACTTGTTAGGAATCACCACAATTCTAATACTATTTGTTAGGCTAAAAAGCCCAAATTTCAATCACAACAGCAAAAACGAAATCAAATAATCGATTAATCACATAAGAGATAATAATTTAACGTAATTCGATTTAATCGACCTATGTGCATGGATGGAAAATAAGATCCACTAGTTATAGAGAATTACAAACATACAATCAAATCATATTAATCACTCAACAATTAATACCCATAAACTCTTTCAATCTCTTCTAGTCCTACGGAGTATTCTCAACTCAAATAAATATACCCATGTGCACCATTTCAATACAAATAAACATATACTCATATACATTCATGCACCTATATTTATATAGACCTTCTTAGTCTTTTCTAGTCCACTCATAAACATTCACAACACTATACTTATGTGGATTATCTTATTCTCCTCTAATCCACTTAAATATAAACACCCATAAAGATATTAATCTACTGTAGTCTTATGAGGTTCTATCTCATAAAACTCTACAACTCTCTTACATTTTTTTCTCATACCTAACTTTATAGAAACTTTATCTATACAAACTTATTAAAAATCCTTTTCTCTTAGAATTCTTCTTCTGCAAGTCAAACTTGTTTATTAAAATTCATTTTTTCTTAGAATTCTTCTTTTGTAAGTTAAGCTTGTTTATTAAGATCAATTTTCTCTTATAATTCTTTTTTTTGCAAATCTACTTTATCATTAAGCAATATTTAGTCAATCTCAAAGAAATTTCTTATGAAATTTGAGTTATTATTCCAAACACCTTTTAAAGTCAAAGTGAGCCAATAAATGGATTTTTTCTTTTTTTGGTGGAGTTACTTTTGATGTTTGCCAAACTAGGAATGAAATAACTAACTTACCCACCAAGACAATAGTAAAATTATTGTAAATTACCAAAATGCATGTTGTAGCTACTAATATCTTGCCCTTCCGAAAATAGATAGTTATTGAGAACATACATCCGATTGTTTGCTGCCTGAACACTGGGAACAGATAGCCTATTCCATTTTACAATAAAAAAGAAAAGGAACTTGTAAAAGAATTATTGAAGTGAAAACAGATAAGAGTGAGATATTTCTCATGTGCATATGGCGGTGATAGCCAATGCTTCTTGTTTAGCAGTGGGCACAAATATGGCATTGTTGCTCGCAGTCGCTGGCTTGCTTACTGCTTTGGCATTGTCAAATATCTTCTTGGCAAAGTCATCGAAGCACTCAGCGATGGTTCGAAAAGGAATGTTTGGATAGAGAGAGCAGATTTCAACATCAGTAGGTTTATCCAAGCTGAAGTTTATTTGGCAGCCATTTATGAAAATGTCATGAGTTAAAGCTGCAACCACACTCTGTGGGATCCGCATCTCTGCAGGGTTAGTGTCCATCAGTTAGGCCCGAAAATTAACGCTCAATGAGGCCCGGGCCGGCCGAGTGGGATTTAGTTCTCTGAAGAAAGGTCACTTTGTATCAAAACTTGAATGAAAAGTGAAATGACTACATACCTTTGGCCCTCTGGAGCAGATCTTCTTCTGTGATGGTGACCCTAGGCAGAGTGCGGCCGATCTTCTCCTCCCATAGTGAAGCCATCTCGTTTATGTTTAGTAGGTTGCTTGGAGGTTGAAAATGGACTGTTTTGTTGAGTGTTCGATCATCGTTGAAGGACATCACAGTGAACTTTCCGATATCAGTACCTGCCACAAAGTATGCTGTGCATTCACCACATAATCGTTAAATTATATGAGCCACAAATCAGATAATGTAAATTAAAAATAATCAACAAACCAGTACAATAAGTTAATTGATATTCAAATTTCTAAAAATGGTGGTAAATTTCAGACTCAAGTTTCCTTCATTAAAAATTTTTTTTTTTTGGTTAGAGACTTTATTTTTACCACTAGTTACAATTAATGCAAAGAGGCTCAGTATGTGCATGCAAAACACAATTAATTAATTAATTAATTTTTTTATAAAGTAGCAAAACTGTTGAAGAGTAGGTTGGAACTGAGAAGTGCTGCTCTCAGTGACCAGTTTACGCGTTCTTAGAAGGGTAGAGGAATATCTTTGACAAGTAGAAAAATTTAGAATTGATTGAAGCCAATTTCTCTTGGAGCCAACATCAGAAAAATATGAGGGCCGGCGATCCACATGTCCAAATCTCTTATAAACTAATTGAAGGCAACAAATCTGACATGATTAAACTTTCTATATCGAAACAGTTAAATTAGTTGGTACTTCATCCTTTTGGATTAGCTTTAAGACAGCCTCGGATGATCAAATTTTGGACCATATTAGCAATTGTCGACATTAACTCCAATAAGAATAGATTACATGGGTTTAGATTTTAAGATTTAGGGTTTGTATATCATCTAAAGAAGTAAAAATTTACATGCTGGGGAAATTACTTAATTAATTCTAGTGATTTACCAAGTAAATTAGATTGTACGGTTCTGTCATTTCTCAATTCGAAATCCAAAGATCGAAATTGACAGTTTGACACAGTCAAAGACTTAAATTATAAAACTCAAACTTGAAAATTTCAATGCTCAAAGTACTATTAACTTCATGCTTTAATGTAACGTTCCGGGTAGCTAATAAATAACTGTTGGTGGGGTTGAAAATAAGCAAATGCTGAGGGTGGGAAGTGTTAGGAGAGGATGGTCACGTGATAATTGCTACCTAACCCAACACATTAGTCGCCTGCCTCTCTTTGCTACTACACTTGACACTCAAACTGAGTAACTGACCAGTGGCTCAAAAACAAAGAAAGAAGCAATCTATCATTCTATCAGCTGGGAATCTAAGGGAGGTTCACTGTTTCTCACCACTTTTCCTGTTAATTGGGCTGTGAGAACCAGCTCAATTTTACAATATTTACTGAGTTGAAAGAGTATAGGGCTTATATATATGCATTTAGCTTTAAGAAATAATATGAATTATAAGATATACTCAGTAAAAATATGCTCATTGATTTGTTCTGGTGTCATACTGTTTATGGCATATGGTAGAATTTTGTTTTTTGCAGCTATGCATCTAAAACTTCCAATTTAGTACAAACATCCACTCTAGCTATCCAAGAAGGCTCGAAGCTAAATTGGGAGAAAGCCATTATTGAAGGGGATATGTTTAGAATGAAATAATTGCATCAAGCAAATTAGAAGTAGATACTACGATATATTGACTACCAAAATGATGAGAAAATGTTTACTTGTGGTTTTTTCCTAGGGAAATATTGGCCAATTAGGTTTGTTCGAAGCTCAGGATTTAAGTAGAAATACTTAAGTAGTGTTTATTAGAGCAATTATTCATTATGCTAAATGAATTAACAAAAAGCTGATAATTGATAGAGTGTCTGTAGTTTTTTAGATTTGTTCTAGATTTATGGTGCTTGACTTAATTAAATTAAGAATGTTGCTGAAATTTGTGACCGGCGTCAAGTGTCAACCAACAGCAAAGGGCAAATAAATAATGTGGGCTTGGCTCACTGACACCTTTTTCACCGTCTATTCTCTTTTTTTTTCCTAAGGATTGAGGGCACCTGATCAACACTTTGAATATGACCCCTTTTTTTATTTTAACAGTATCTAATTTGTTTGTCCATTCATTTATTTACTGCGTTTTGGCGTTTGGCCTTTGGCTTTTCCATTTTTTTAAAAATTCTGTCTCTATCAGTCTCTTTCTCTATCAGAAAATGGCAAAGGAAGGAAGTAGTGGGTGGGCACAGGCTGCATTTACTCTTAACAGTAATTTAATATTGCTGAGGAGATCTGCTATCCAACCAAAAAATCCACTAGTATTTTTATCTCTTTCAACAACGAAGACAAACCCATTAACTCAATTTTTTGTTTTACCAAACTCAACCAATTACAAAAACTAAATTGCAGGCAACATTCAATTCAACCATTCAAGCACATATCCCATATTATGAACTCTAATTAATTTCCTAAAGCTAGCTCTTAATAAAATATAAATTGAAGTGCTCAAGCAAACAAATACAAGTAATCTATATAAATAATATTAATTATATAAGTATATATCAAAGACATGAACTTCAAATTTAAAGACACCCATGTGGGGGGTGATTACTTAATGAAAGATTCTGAGACATTGATTTTCTTGGGTAAAGGCATCCATCTTTATCATATTAACTATACACCATACTATATAGTTCTCAACTACCAAGCATATTAACAAGAAACAAAAGAGAGAAGATGGGGGATACCTTTGACTGTGCCATCACCATAGATTTGGAACCTATCAAGGGGTGGCAGAACATCTGCTGGGTGAGTGTTGTCATGGTAGGGCCAAGCAGCAATGGAATTGCAGCATATATATGTGTAGGGAATCCCAGACTTCTCTATCTGCCTCCTGATCTTCCTCTTTTGGTCATACATGGTTAGCCCTGGTTCCACTGGGTCAGCCCTGTCTATGTCGTGCCCGAATTCTGACGGTAAAAACCTCTGCAATTATTTCACCTTATGGTTCAGGTTCCCATATATATTGTTCCAGTGCAACAGTGCCTGTTGAACTAATTGTACTTGGTAAAATTTTAACACTCAAAGTCAATGGATTCTGTTTTGGGGTCTCAATCTTAGCACTCATGCTATAGGTGGGACATAATTTATCTGATAACTTTTGTAGTGTATATATATATATATATATCAATGGATTCTGTTTTGGGGTCTCAATCTTAGCACTCAGGCTCTGATAACTTTTGTAGCGTACATATATATATATATATATATATATGACAAAAATAATGCCATCGGAAATCTGAAATTTTATTTAATTAGTTTATGTAAATTTTTTTAAAAAGAATATTCGTATTTAAATTTTAACACTTATAATCGTTTATCTTATTAATCACATTATATAATCACTCGTAAATAAAAATATTATAGCTTCAATCAAATTTGAAGTTTTTTTTTTCTTATGTCGGTTTATAGGATAATAATCTTAACTAATTTTAAGTTTTAGCTATGCATGCAAGAAGTGTTTTTCTCTTTGGTTTCGGAACTTGAGAAGAAGCTCAACAATAACCAAACAAACTAGTAGCTGCAGCGACCATGTAAACTATGAATGTTAGTTGTTGTTTAGGGCAACATTTACCTTGATAGTGTCAACATTCTTAATAGCCTCTATCAGATTGAACTGGTCCAAGATGCTCTCCCCGCCCACTGTGGATATTACAATTTCTATCTTATGCTCTTTCAGAACCTTCTCCATGAATTCTTTGTCAGTGATAGAACCCTGTTACAACATTTTCAACAGTCACATAAACGTAGATGTATATACGTACATACATATACGCATAATGTACAGCATGAAGATACATATACAGATATGTATGTATGCATAAATGCATGAAAATGTAATGATACATACATAAATAATGGTGGCTCCTTTGTCTTGAAGAAACTTGATGGTGGAGGCTTTGGAGGGAGAGTTCGAACTAGATCGGACCAAAATATATGTAGGACGGCCTGAGTCCAGAGAGGCTTCAGTAACGAACCTGCCTATAAACCCACTCGAACCGATAACCATGGTCGGACCGGTCTCCTCCGACACATTAGGAGAGGAACCATTCATGTTTGTTGATTTCACCATAATGTAGGCTTTTATTTTAAGCTAACAAAATTGGGCGCACAAAGTAAAACAGAGGAAAGTGAGGGAAGACGCGACTCAAAGGCAATATCGACTTGTGTTTAAATAGAGGTGAGCACTTTAGGTCAGGTACCATTCCCATTCCCATTGGCGCAAATTAGCGAAAGGGAGGGCCATTGAATTTTTTTCCATACAGATTTTTCAAAATTGAAACTTTAATTATTGAAATTAAATTAGATAATTTATGTATTTGTGTTAAACATATGTAAAATATAAAAATTATCATATTATAATTTATGTTGACACGATAAATATGAAAATTTTTTATTTTATTAAATTTATATAATTTTTATTAAAATTTTAAATCCTATGATTTTTATATATTTTTTATATTTTTTTAAATCTTATTATTGTTTTGTATTTAAGAAGATTGCAACTATGATAGCATGTGTCTACGTGTATGAAACCAATTACTATTATTTTTTAAAAAAATATATATATATATATATACTTTTTTTTTTCAAAAAGCAATTAAGAATAGAATATTTGGTTTAATTAATATATAATTCAAATATCATGGGCTTTACGGTAAAAAAAAAAAAAAGGAGGATTGAATATTCGCCCCTACTCAATTAAAGAAAAAGAAATAGTATTTATTTAATTCCTTTTAATTCCAAAATGCATTTTGAAGAAATGTAAACCAGAAGCAATTATACCCTATAATTCTTTTGGAGCAAGCAATTTATACTACTTATGTACTCATCCTATAATACTATTTTCTTTGTTTTCCATAGTTAATTTAGAGTATAGAAGTAGTTATTAGTATGCAGATTCAAACTGAAAATACGTATATACTTATAGAAAAATTATCAAAGTTAAAGTTTTAAATTTTAACAAGTGATACAAACCTATTAAAGTATATTTTAAAAAATAAATACATTTATATAATATACGTTTCGGAAAAGAAAAGAGGTTGGGGGGAAAAGGTCGCAACAATCGGGGGGGGGAAGAAGGATTGGCAGGCTTTGGTTATGATGTGGTTTGATAGTCACCTGCTTGGCTTGACCGGTAGATAACACCAACCCTTTTTTCGGGTTTTGTTTTCTCCTAGTCAACTCAGCGTAGCGCTGGCTAGTTTCTAGCTACTCAAACACTACTAATTATATTATTTGAATTATCTATTAATTTTTCTGATTAAATTAAAAATTAATTTCCTTCGCTTTAACAATATTGTTGTAGTATATTGTAAACATAAATTTCCAGTTAACAATTAGCTTAAAAATTTTTAAAAATAATTTTATTTATTAGACTTAAAAATTATAATCTCTAAAAATTTTTTAAAATAAAAAAATTTTAATTATTTTCCTTTTAAAAAAAATCAGCTTCGAGTTTGAAAGTTTTGATTTTGAATGAACGAAATTAATATCCTTTCTTAAGATGGAATAAGATTGAAGAGCAATTTTTTATAATTCTTGAAACCAAAATTCTGTGTTCTTTGGGTTTTTTAAATTTCTTCAATTCTTTACCGTTTGATTCTTGTCTTATTAGGACTTTGAAGAAGACTTGAATCTTCAAAATCTTCCTTTGTTTTCTTTAAAATTGTAAAATTTGTCAAATGACTTGAAAAAACATTTATAGTGCTAACTTGCTTGGATTTAATTTTTAAATAATTTTAATTTACTTAAAGCTAAAAACTAATAATTCATGGGTGAAATTTAATTCGATAATACATAAATCTTTGAAATTTAATATAACAAAATTTTAATTTATTTCAAAATTATTTTAATTTGATTAAAGATAAAAATTGATGATTGAAATTTAATTGGATAACTCATAAATGTTTGAAATTCGGTTGACTGAAAATTGGATTTTTCTTTAAATTATTTTAATTTAATTAAGAGATAAATTTTAATACTATAAGTCCTTAAATTTTGATTAGTCAAGCAAAATATATTTATCTTTAATTGTCAAATGACGTATTGAATTAATTATAAAATTAATCATTTAGTAATAAATTTTATGCTTGACTTAAATGATATCATTAATCCAAATTATTTGTCATTTAAAATTTTTTTAATATTTAATTGAAAGAAATTTTATCAATATTTAATTGAAAGAAAATTTATCACACATATGACAGTTTATAAATGAATAAATTTTTTCTTTTTTCTACAAATATCTCCTCACAATTTGTTCACACATGATTTTGCACTTAACCAAGTTAAAAATTTAATTTGATTTCACTCCAAAACTTGACTACACTTTGAAATCCAATTAGCCTTAGTTATTCGTGACAGAATTCCAATTTATCTTTGATTTATCCCTACCTTAAAATTGGACTAAAATCCTAATATCATCCTGTTAATAGAATTAGCTATGAGAATTATAAAAGCCAATTTACCTTTAGTTTATCCTTGTCAAAATTGAACTACAATCCTAATATCATCTGGTTAACAGAATTATAGAGTTTAAGGAATTGTCAGTCACTATTAAATCACCTAAATATAAGATTGTTTTAGTATAGAAACAAGAATTTTCTTACTAATTTGTAAATTTGTTCAAAAGTTGCGCAAATTATATGTAGACATAAAATTTTATCCGAGACATTTTATAACATAATTGATTTGAAGCTCATTTACAAACATGGGTCAAGACCATTTAAGAGTACCATTTGCGACCCATAAAAAGCCTACAAAATTGCCTATTCAGAAAATCAAAATCAACTCAGGTCAAATCCGATTAAATAAAGTTAAAATTACACAAAATTTAGTTAAAATGGATAAGAGCCTAGATTAATTCTGAAAATTTAAAACCTAATTAAAATCAATATGATTTAAAATTGAATTTGAGATTTTTTGAAACACCAAATTTTTTATTGTGCCCCGAGAAAAGTCAAAATTATCAAAATACTTTTACAGAGGTATTTTCGTAATTTGACCTTCCCGAGCTTAAATTTTTGTGAGACTTTTCAGATTTTAATTTTATAATATTTCATGATTTTTAGTGCATTTAAAATCACAACAGTACCCCGAAAAAAGGTAGAATTACTAAAATATCCTTCTAAAGGTATTTTAGAAATTTGAATTTTTTGAACTCGAATTTTCGTGAAATTTTTTAAATTTTAATATTTTATAATTTTTGGTAAGTTTGAAACTACAGCAATACCTTGAAAAGGGTAAAATTATCAAAATATCATTTAAGAGATATTTTAGTAATTTGGCATTCCCGAGCTCGAAATTTCACAAAATTTTTCAGATCTTAATTTCATAATATTTCATAATGTTTAGTGCATTTGAAATCATAGTAGTACCCCAAGAAGTGTGAAATTACCAAAACACTCTTATAAAGGTATTTTCAAATTTTGACTTTTCTAAGTTCAGATTTTCACGAAATTTTTCAGATCTTAATTTCATAATATTTTATGATTTTTGGTGCTTTAAAATCTCAAAAATGATCATGAGAACATTGATTTCTAAGAAAATGACAATAAATACCGAAAACTTTGCACTAGTAGTAAAATAGTTTTTTCATGGGTTTGGAGGCATAAAAATTCAATCTTTACAATTTTTAATGTGGGCTATTGGATCTTTTTATGACTTTTGATCCAATGGCTAAAGGTAGCTCCTTCGAAAGAAGAAAAAGAGGAACTTTAACCTTTGGATGAAATTTTATCCAAAGGTCTTTATTAATCAAAATTGAAATCTTTCTTTTTGGAGAAAGGTTTGCCGATTGGATAAAAAAGAGAAGAGGGCTGGTAAAAAAAAGAGAGAGAGTAAAAACACAACAAAAAAGAAGCTAAAGATTAAAATAAAATCAAAAGAGGTGAGACAACCCATATAAGGGCATGTGTTTGCCGTTTTATATTATTGTTTGTTACACCATTTTTGCACCTGCCATGATTTTTTTTGAAAAGTGTTCTTATTTGTTCTTTACATGTTTTGACTTTGGTATAAGTGTTGATAAAGTTTGAGGCTTTATGTGTTTTATGTTTCTTTTTTTAAAAATGGTTGAGCTATCAATCTCAATGTATGCCAATAGTCATCCTCTTCTAATTGTAAGTTAACAATTATTCATACAAAGTCTTACACTTGCTTTTAACAATCGTCATACCATTTTAGTTATACAAGTAAAAATAAACAGAAAAATTAAATGCTAGATAACATCAATTGTATTTGGCTTCCATGGTAGTCATGTTTGGTTTGTTTTTCTACGAAATTTAGGAAGTTGCTTCTTGTTGCTAAGAAGTTTCAACATTTCTTTTTTGATAAACTATACATAAGAGTTAGGTGCAATGGTAATTAAAGAGATGACGAATACATGTTGGGAACCATGGTGTTACTTTTTGAAAGATAAAAAAGAGAAAGCTGAAAGCTTGAAGCTAGTGGCTTTCGATTATGGTCCATTTAAGCTTTATAAAATATCATTGTGCAGACTCATAGCTCATTGCTTTTCAACATAGAAATGAGTGCTTTCTCTTTTCTAGTTTATTGTTTTTATGTGAGGGTTCTTGTACAAGTTTTAAAGCTTTAATCTTTCTATTTATTTTTTAGGTTCTTGTTTCTGTATGGAGTCTATATTGGTTTGTCCTTGTTAGAGATTACATAAAGAATGAAAAGCTCAAAATAGGCCATATGTAGAACAAGCCTCACGTGAACTAGGTTGTTTGATCTTTATGTTTATTTTGCTTGGCTTTTTGCATGCTTTTGTCTACAGTGCATGAGTCATTTATGGATGTAGGAAAATATTACACATACTACAAGGTCCCATAATTATCTTGTTGCTTCATTTTCTTGTGGTTCTCTTTGACATGATGGTTGTAAGGGTGGATCGATTTTTGGCATGATGGTTACTAGATGGTCTAAAACATATGATAACAAATGTAATAAAGCTAAGGTGGGAAGAAAAAACCATATTAAATTTTAATTAAGGAATAAAAATATTTAAACATCCTTTTGCATAATTATTTTACCATGATAATCATGTTTATTTTTGGATTATGCCAAGGTTTTGAATGTCTAGTCTCTTTGTGCATATATTAGTTTTTAAATTTATTTGTTTATGTTCTTTGAATACATTTTATGTATTTTGA